CTTCCCTGGTGCAGAGGAAGTGCCAGGAAGCCTGCAGGTGTGAGCCTTTTAAAAGAAAAGGCCCGGGCTAAATAGATTCTTTGACTGTCAGGGATTAGAGTCATGGCACTAGTGGTAACACACATCTTTCCCTTTAATTTACAAAATTTTCTCACGCGTCTGCAAGGGTTCACCCCATCGGGGGCTTGCAGAGGCCATTGAAATGTCTTAAGTTTTAATTAAGTTGGAGTTGTCAGAAGAAAGCTTTTCTGGCACGGAGTCAGGGTCATTAATTACTGCTATCTTTGTTTCTTTCTGTGAAGGGAACTCGGCTGACTTGTAGGATTACTTACCCAGCCTGTTTTCCTGCCTGCAACTCCCATTCACTTCCAAGTGGGGCTTATTAACCAGTTTACCAATTACTTCCATCAGTTTTAGGTGTAAAGCATTTACACAATCTTAAATCTTAAAAACGCATTTCTCATTAGTGGCTTAGGGAACAGTGTTGATACCAAATTCAGTTTAACTTTAAAGATCCTCGCATTTTTCACATCATTCTCTATTCAACACACCTATTCGTTTTCTCGGGGCTAATCAATTTTAAAATTATTTACCTTACCCAGTAACAGCATTCTAGCTGGAAACATCAGTTTCACCTAATAACTTTTCAAGCAGGCAAATATTTTTTATTGTTTCTAGGTCAAATTGCTGACACTATCGCTGATAATAAATGTTATATTTCTCATTATGTATGTAAAAGTTGGGAAAATCATGTTTTTTTAAATCATGAAGTTAAATTTTGATTTTAATGGTAAAGTATACTATTTGCAGATGATCTGCTTAGAAGTATCTCCCTCATGGTATATGTTTAGTATGTGTCCCTTAAGTTAGACATCCTATCTCATTCTCACATCTTACAGAAAACAGCAAAATAAAACAGTGTACTTCAGATACAGCAGCAAAAATGAGTGGGATAACTGTCTCAAAAATCAGGAAAACATAAAAAAGAGTAACACTGAATCAAGACACATCTAGTTCTGTCTAGCAGAATGCCTAGAATTAGTCTTTGAACTTGATAACATGTACTTTTAATAGAGGGATGAAATGGGTGGGAAAAGGTTTACAAACCTGGGCAAATCCGGTGACCAGAATCACTCATTTCTTTTTGATGAACACATGATACCACTTCAAAATATTTTTTTCTAGTAATCTCAATGTCCTCTGCCATGAGCAGCAATAACAAACGTGTGACCAGCAAACAGGCGCCATCTCAGACCTGGGGCCCTGGATGCTATCATTGGAATGCCTCATTATAATTTTAATGACTCATCATCATCTGATGATTCTCCAATGAGAAACTTCTGAGCTGGAATTTGGATTAGACTCCAGGGCTTCCACTCATTCTGGTCTAAACATGGGTCAGTTACTCTGGGTGGGAGAGGAAAATTCCCGGTTTGACTGATAGCTGATACTACCATGTCTCACAGTTACAACCATCATGTTTTGCCATTACACTCTCCCGTTTATTAAACTTGAAATGCTGCACCTGACCAAGAGGGGTACAATTTTCTGCTGGTTCTCAATAAAATTTCTAAACGCTATTTCTAATCCCCAGCAAACATATAAAAGTTAAAGTATACATGAAATAAATTAGATAATCAAACATATCTACTCAGTTCAATGAAGAAAATCCAAGTTTCCTTAAAAAGTAGTGAATATCTTCACACAGACAGTTTCAAAGCCAGATGTTAAACTGAAACTCACCTTCCAGGATTAAACAATTACAAGATCTGAAGGCTTCACTCTCCACCTTTGGTTTATGTCTTTCCTATCACCCCAAAAGATATTAAGAGTATGAAGACTATGCTTTTCACCTCCAAACCACTTGTCAAAGTCCTAGAATAAAGTCAGCACTTAAGAATTAAATCAGTATAAACAGAGATATATATAACATGCCAATCTTAAACTCAGAAGTGAACCAACTTGCTAATTATAAGTACACAAAAACATGTAATGCACAGATTTCTATAATAATCTGTAACATTTTAAATCATCCAATGTCCCCATGAACTAATAAAGGTCGTCTCTAGTTTATTTGAACTTATAATTATATCTGACTATAGTCTGAATATAACATTTCTGCACCTGGATCTAGCCCATATTCAACTTTTTCGGGATGTCTGAAATGGTTATGTGGAGTTTAAGAAGTTAGTGGGATCCACTTTTTAACCATTTTTTCATTCCGCAAACATTTGGTGTGTGCGCTATGGCAAGCATTGGACACAGTACCCAAGATAACACAACAAAACACAGCATTCTCCCAAGGAGCTTGTGGCCTAAGGGAGCAGGTCAGGAAACAAAATGAACAAACACAACCAGACCTATAAGGTTTCTTCTGAAAGCAAAGGAGATTCCATGGGGGTAGAGGAAAGGTCCCCAGGAGCTTGCTCTGGCAGGTCCAGTGTGCCCAGTGGGCAAGCAGGAGGAAGGGCTGTCAAGGCAGATGAAACAGCATCATAAC